AAAGCCACCTTTTCCTTTGAAGTTGGCGTACCCATCCGTTTTCCCTCTCCCGTCCCGTTAGAATGAAGTTCCACCATAAGAGGCAGACTGTGAGCTCTCTGCTTGAAACAGATCCTGGCATAGAACAAAAATTCACTGCTGTGCTCTAGGTGAATGAATCACCTCCCTCCCCATCACTCCTCACTTGTGCGAACCAGATGGCTTTTCCTGCCTGCTCTCCACAAATCCTCACAACGACTCTGGGAAGACAGGTACTGTTATTATTCTCGTTTTAAAGAAGAGAGCACACACACGTACACAGAAAGACCCACTGTGGGCGGGGCTGGTCATGAATCCCAGGCCCCTAGATAGAGGCTTTGCTTCGTCTCCTCAGGGAGGCTGAAGGTGCAGGGTCTTGCACTCTACTGCTGCCCCACACGCCCACCCCTGAACTTTACTTTCAATGACCTTTCTATTGGCGCGACCCCTCCGTACATCAGGGCGGTCACCACGCTTCCGCTCTGCTGAAGGGGTAGTTGTCTGCCACCTCCAAGCTGCTCTCTACACTGAAGCTAGACTGATGTTTCCAGGCATTACATTGGATCCTCACACTGTTACAAACCTCTTTGATGGCTTTTTACTGAAGCCCGTGCTTTGAATTTAACCATGGCTGGGGAGGATGGCTCAGTCCACACAGTGCTGGACAGGAGGATCCTGAGGCTTGCTGGTCAGCCAATCTAGTGGAATCAGTGAAGTCTAGGCTCACTGACAGACCCCATCTCAGATGATGAAGATGATGATGATGATGATGATGAAGAAGGAGGAGGAGGAGGAGGAGGAGGAGGAGGAGGAGAAGAAGAAGAAGAAGAAGAAGAAGAAGAAGAAGAAGAAGAAGAAGAAGAAGAAGAAGAAGAAGAAGAAGGTGGTGGTGGAGTTTGAGGAAGACACCCAACATTGCCCTCTGGCTTCCACATGGGCACACATAACACCTGCACACTTGTAGAAAGATGACAATGGCATCTTGACTGTGATACTGACCTAACTGACATTTCCAGAAATGTTTACGTCAGAGCTGATCAGAACTCCAGAGGATGGATGTGTCCCAACAGACGTCCCTGGCCCTGCCCAAACCCACCAACTGGGACACTGTAGGAGTGGGGTCAGACAATGTCCATTTTTAACGCCACAAGCACTGCTGACAGCCGCTGATTTAACGCTTCTCATCTCTAGGACACTTGGCGAATGTCCACAGGTCAGGCAGTACTAGTTAAACCATCATCGTCAAGACAAAGACTTGACCAGCCTTGTTTCACAATTAAACCACCATGTCTCACAAATGAAACCCCTGCCCCAACTCATGTTACATGTTTCAAAAGTGCTTGGGCCGGGCAGTGGTGGTGCACGCCTTTAGTCCCAGCACTCGAGAGGCAGAGCCAGGTGGATCTCTGTGAGTTCAATGCCAGCCTGGTCTACAGAGTGAGTTCCAGGACAGGTGCCAAAACTACACAGAGAAACCCTGTCTCGAAAAACCAAAAAAAAAAAAAAAAAAAAAAAGTGCTTGGAACCTGGATAAGTCACACCATACCACATAAAGTGTGTGGTCAACAGTTTTACTTTGAGATATACTCATCTCGAGGATTTTTCCATTTCTAAAAAAACAAAACAAAACCCAAACAAACCCTATCTTACCACAGCTTTGCAATGATTTGAGAGAGAGAGAGAAAAAAAATCAATCAATAAAAGACACAGACACACACACACACAGCCCATGCCTTACCCCAGCACATCAGTGAGTTCTGAGCCTTCTAGTCAGGTCTTTTGCATCGTAAAAGATCCGTTATCATGTCAGAGATAAGCTTTGTTAGAGGCTGGCCGCTGACTTTCCAGCCGGCATCCCAAGTCCCTCATATTTTACCAGGCTTCAGAACTGTCTATCTTGTCTTTGGACATGGGATGCCATCTGACCCCACATTAGCGCCTGTCTCCTACAATTATAGGCAGAGACAAATATTTTACCAGCTAGTCATCTCTGAAGCCAGCTACTCCAACTGGGAAGGTCCTGTGGCACAGAGAAACAGCAGCATGAAGCTGGAGTATTAAACCTTTATCCTTCAGATGTATAATATACACAGAAGATATATACCACAAATATTTTATATAAAGATTGTGATATATATATATATATATATATAAAATGTTTAAAAATCCAACTAATTTTTCCTTATTTTAACATATAAATAGCCCAGAAAAATATTTTCTTCCAAAAAAAATGTAGAAAAACAAGCTAAAAAAACCCTGATAACAAAGGTCAAATGTTTTTAGAAACTACTTTGAAAAATGCAATTTGAATATAGTGCTAAGGCAAGTATGGAATCTGAGTCATGTCATGAAGTTTAATACCTTTTTTTTTTTTGCAATTTCAGAAATGTATTTAAAAGTAATGATATTTGGTTGAGATTACTTCTCAGGGCCTCTCTATGAAGGAAAATAAATATTCCATCTACACAACAGGATACAGAAGATACTGATGTTTTAGAAATAATAACTATATATTACAATATCCAGGAGAGCCTTCAGGAGAAAATAAAATATTTGTAGTAAGAAACCACCAGAGAGGTAAGGTTTTCAAGACCTTTCAGGGGCATAAAAAAAAACATTTTTCACTCTCCATACTGCATGAGCAGACTCCTCACATAAATCACCCCCCACAGGGGCTCCCTAAGCTAAGCAATAATTGGGCCTCGCATTATGTGAGAGGAACAAAATAAGACTGCCCAGATGTGCTCCGACCGATGAAAGGGAAAGGAAGTGAAATTTTGGAGGCTAATTTGACACACAGCCTCACTAAAGCTAAGCACACGCAGAAACAGCATGTGGACCATTCCTAACTCCCCCCCCATCCCACCCCCACGCGCTCCCCCATCATTCCAGCCTCTGGCTTTCTAGCTATAATTGATGGCATTCAAAGGTAGGGTGGTAGCTATTCAGTTCCAAGAGAAATTCATAACTTCCTTGCATGTTCTTAGACTCAACAACACGGCTAACTAGAGGCTGTTACACCACCCTACCCAGAGCAAAAGCCACCGCAGACCCTCAGCCACCACAGTGCCAGGAGGCTCTTAAGCATGTTCACAGAGTCTGCTGAAACACAGGACAAAGACAACAGGGTAAAGAGAAACATTAACAGGCCCCCCCTTGGCCGGACAAAAATAACTCCCGAGGCTGTAAGATGCCTTCCGCTCGGACACCAATAAGACATGAAGAAAATGGGTATTAATACTAATATGAAAACTTTTTTTTTTTAATTCAGTGTTTATTTGACAAATACCAAGTGTCTTTTCTTTCGTGCCTCTCTGGTTCTGATCTTTGGGGAAAGCCACATGAGTATCAAATACCACTCAGTTCTTATTCAAACAGGAGACAAGCAGACTCAGAGGCTGCGGAGTGACTTGGCTGACCTGGGCCTTCAGGAAAAACAAACCACTATAAATCACCAGATGTAAGCAATTGGAGAGTGATCACTTTAATTAATTGACCAGCTCGCCTGAAATTTACTATATAACTTCCACCTTTCCAACACTTTTACTAGGAAAAAAAAAAAGGAACAATGGTGGGCTTTTAATCAAGCTGTTTGAAGAACATGTTTTAACTTTGGAGACAAGTAAATTTTTAATTACTTAAGATCAGGACAGGAAATTGCTTAATTTTCGAAATTAAACCGGAAACATACAAAATGCCACCAAGACAAGATGGTCCCCGAAACTGACCTGAGTACATGAGTATAAACATATTATCTGTACTGAAAATACAGAAAATCTGACACGATTTTAATTGCATCTGAAAAACTACAAACTCACGTTTTGCCTTCACTTACTGATTTAACTACCTATGTTGACATTTTCAGTCGGGGTTTCTAATCCTGATTTCCCATGCCAGCCGCCATACTTAAAAGGTGATGCCAGATGACTCACTGATTAAGAGCAGACTCTGCTCTGGAGAGGACCCTAGTTCAGTTCCCAGCTCACACATCCAACAGTTGATAACTGATCCAGGAGATCTAGCGGCCCCTTTTGGACTCCAAGGATACCTGCACTCACATGTGCACAAATCCACAAACACATATAACGAAAAATAAAAACGAGACCTCAATGGCATATTACCAATTCCTATTATCCTCACAGGAAGTCTGAGCATTATTGACAAATATTACATAACGCAGCATTCACAGTTCTCAGGCCTGCCAAACACTGAGCACTGTCAGAATTTAATTTCTAGTCCACAGAACATAACCAAAGCTCTAAGTAACTTCTTTTGAATCCTGGCAGTCAGGGTAGCAAAGGCAGAAGAGGCCGGGCGGTGGTGGCGCACGCCTTTAATCCCAGCACTCGGGAGGCAGAGCCAGGCGGATCTCTGTGAGTTCGAGGCCAGCCTGGACTACCAAGTGAGTTCCAGGAAAGGCGCAAAGCTACACAGAGAAACCCTGTCTCGAAAAACCAAAAAAAAAAAAAAAAACAAAAAAAAAACAAAGGCAGAAGAGAGTAAAGTGTGTTATAAGGATGCTTGAGGGCTTGGTAGTTTAATGGGTTGCCTAGCAAGCAAGAAGCTCTGGGTTCCACCCCCAGCTCCAAAACAAACAAACAAACAAACAAACACTTGAGATTTAGAAGTGGGAACAAGTTAATTTAAAGATGCCTTCTTTATTATGCCCTGAAAAGGGTATTCAAAGTTTGCTTCTAAGAGGTACGTGCTAGTTCATATAAATCAGTGATTCTCAACCTTCCTAATGCTGCAGTACAGTTCCTCATGTTGTGGTGACCCCCAGCCATGAAATTATTTCATTGCTAACTCATAACTGTAATGTTGCTACTGTTATGAATCTTAATGTAAACATCTGATAGGCATGATATCTGATATGCAACACCCGAAGGGGTCCACTGATTGAGAATCACTGACACAGATAGTACCTGCCGCTCTTACACACATACATGGGAATGATGGGAATGATGCTGACATTCACTTACAAGGAGAGCTGTCTAATATTTGCTGACACTGGTCCCAGGTTTGGAATGGCCTCCAGTTCATTGTTATTCAGCTTCCTAAGAATGCCAAAAAAGAACAGAAAAGGCTAATTAGGTAATCTGAAATCCAAAGATGTGAAAACACTGTATATTATTTAAAGACCTCGCCCGCCCACTTAAAAGTTCGAAGGAAGGTCTCTATAATCCAAAGGTTCATCCCGTGAAATGGTCTGGGGGTGGGGGGAACATTTTATGCAACCCTCAAATAGGAAGTGACTGTGACTCACACTTCTCGAAGGTTTTGGAGGTGGCTCAGGGAACTTGTCTGGATAGAAGATAACCTGTTGTGACTGAGGTCCCTGGAAGAAAACAAAAAGTGGTATCACAAGCAGTTTCGTAAACGTTACTACTATCACTTAGTGATGCGCCAGGCAGAGCAGGGTTCTGAACTCTCTCTCTCAACACCAGTGGCAAGAAGAGAAATAATCGGACCACTCTGTCCACAGACTAAATGGCAACCAAATGCCAAACTCGAAATGACAAACTCTGAGGGCAAATTTAGTTTAAGAGGCTGGCAGATTCAAATACTTGAAGCCCACAAGCATTTTAAGGGCTGTTTCTTTGGCACATGGTGAACAGACCTTTTATGAACTATAGCTTGCTTCAGCCTCTCATCTCTCTCCCCACCCTCCACTCGATCCAGTGACATCATAGACTATGAAAAGTAGCTAATTAGACAGGTTACTGAAACAAGGACTCCGAAGAAACATTTTGATTATCACAAAATTAAGTAGCAAATGTCCTTAACGGCAGTCAAAGAGAACAGAGGTTGGCATCCATGGGTAGTTATTTTAGCTATTTGTTTCTCTGCGTTAGTTAAGGGACTAGATTACTAATACAGGGTGTGTTCGTGTGTGTGTGTGTGTGTGTGTGTGTGTGTGTGTGTGTGTGTGTGTATGTGTGTGTGTGTGCAATCGCACACGCCCCTGAATGTACATGCTCAAAGGGATACACCCTCTCCTCTAAGAACTCTTTGAATTTCAATATCCAATAATGCAGCACACCATTTAAACCACACCAACCATCTAATAACGCAGGGCAAGCGGTACAAGCATTTTGGTCGCTAAAAGAAACGTGCTTCTTACTCAAAGGCCCAGTAAAACTTAACAACAATTCCCACAGGCGTCCAAGTACTAAAAGTAACCAACTCCTAGCCACACAGTGCTCTGGGTTAGGAAGTCCACCCAGCATCACGATTTGGAAAAAGGAAAACACAATCCAACGAATGTTTCAACATCCCATCTACATGCCTCCAAAGTAGTACAAGGAAGACAAAATGGTTGGAACAGTCACTCGGAACGAGGTTCAAGCCCAGTGTGGCTGGAAGCTCCCCTTCTGGAAGAGGCAAGCCGATCCTCAGCTAATTCCTCGGTGTTGAAAATGAAGACTTTTAAATCACCAAAGTTTTAGATAACTAAGGTTAGCTGCTGACAAGCAGGAACCACGCTACCTCCATCAGAATGTCCTCCCACAAACAGGAGAAAAATAGCAATTGCACACCCAGAGAAACACTGTTGCTGCTTGCTCACTCGACAACTGGAAATGAAGGACCCTGTCATTCTCCCTGCTTTTTGTTTCCAGAGTAAGCCCTGATTTCTGTGTTTCACCCTAAAAGAAAATAAAAAAAAAAAAAAAAAAAAAAAAAAGGAACTCGCAAAGATGGTATTCAAGCTCTGTTTGCCTAGAGACCTACCCGACAGTAACCGACATGAGCAGATTTTGTTCCGGTGGAGTTATAACATGAAGGGGGGTGGGGGTGGGGTGGGGGGAATCTGGCTCCCATTTCAACTATAAAAATCCTGCAATTACAACCACTGCTGTGCACGCTCACCACGCTGGCTGGAGCCAGACACTTTCCCCTCACAGTCCAGCCCAAGTCCATCTGGAGTTCATCAAGGAAGCAGAGAGCCCAACAACTCACGTTAGCAGTCAGACAAAAACCTGCGTGCCTTTAGCACCCCAGACAGTCACAGATTGCCCACATGGTTGAAAACACAACCCAGAAAGGAGCCTTCCACCTGGGGCTTTAGCCTCACTCCACGGACAGTCATTTGGACCTACTTAACTCAAGAATGCTGAGCCTGCCCCCACCCACCATTGTTTCCTGTGTTTGAAAAGCATGGGGAGGGGGGCAATCTGGTATTTACATTTCATCCAGTTGATTTTCTTTTAAATTAAAAGAAAAGAAAAGCTCGTTGTAAGGATTATTATTTCACAGGGAATCCTGGGAGAAATGAGATGTGGGGGCTCAAAGTTTCCCACCAGTCATGGGATGAGGTCCCCCTCCCCAGCTCCCCCCCCTCCAACAAAAGGTCTTTAAACTGGGAACAGCCTGCAGCCCAATGTACATTCTGGGGACACTGGTTTCATGTCTTCCAGCAGGAGCTGGCAGCCATACGTATTTCAGTTCTGGCCAATGCTTCCATTCTGAGATCTGTATACTATTAAAACCATATTATATGTGGGAGACGAAAAGAAAAAAAAAATCTTAAGTGACTTTTACTGCTAAATACTTAAAGCCATGGAACTTTTAATTTACCTAAACTTAGATTTTTTTTTTACAGTAATATACATTTCAGAAGTAATTACCTTCTTTTCAGGGGATGCCACATTTTCCTACATCTCCCCTCTATTATTTTTATGGATGGAACACTGAGAGATTCGGGACATAAAACGCCAGTGTTTCCTTGAACCCAGGACAGAAACCATTCCATGGGAGGGCAGATTGATTGTTATGTGAAGTTCCATAAAAGAACATCTTTCCCCGGGAAACTTTTTTTTTTTTTACAAGATTTGCTGTGATGAGGCCAATACATGGGTTGGGCAAGGCGTTAACTATTTACCCAGAAAGCCACTGGGCAAAGGCTTGGGGGAAAAAAAAAAAAAAAACCAAACCCTGTGTATGGTAGAGTCGCTTTATCAAGTGAATGAGCATATGTGAGAACTATTGATTTTACAGCACTTGGTGCTGGCTAGTGTTTTCTCCTTTTTAAACATTTGGAAATCTGGCTTCCGGCTCAAATTTGAAAACGCAAAGACAGCGGTGTGTCTCAACCCCACGGGGGCCTGCCAAGCTGCTAACTCAGCAGAAATATGGAAAGCTGAAAAACAAAACGGCAGGCTTGTAGCTGTTTTAAAACACGGCTCCAAAGCGACTCGTAAATCAGCCTGCTGGGCTCGAGTCTGGGTCTGGAAAATACAGACGAACAGCTGTGGAAACCATAAGGACTATTACTCCCCTCCCCACCCCCAGCTGCAGTCAGCTCCAGAAGATTCCTAACAGGCCAACACCGAAGAAGTCACACACCAGCACAAACCACCTTTCGGACTTTCACCTCAGCCCTGTCGGGAGCTCAAACATGTCCACGTGATAAGAGGCATCCTCTGAAATCCCAGCTAGAATCTAGTAACACTGGAGGTTCCAGTTGGCAATCAAACCATTTCCCCCGCTTTGGCTAAACCCCGTACTTTAACAAGCCCTCCTCTTTGGGTTTGGAGCTCCAAAAGCACAAAGGTTTTCCAGCGAGGCTCCGAGCAGTGACTTTTTTTTTTTTAACAGCCACTTTCATTAAAGGACTGCAGGTCCGTTCTCAAAGCAGGAGCAAGCACAGTGTTATTATTGTTCAGCTCCAACTATTCAGCTTTCCACTCAAGGCGCTCCTGTGGCAATAAATGACAACTGGATAAAGTGGGGACACACACACACACACACACACACACACACACACACACACACACACACAGCACAGACGTTCATAACTTGCCCGTTCAACAAAGAGAACAAAAGGCCCACAGCATACCTTCCTGAACTTTCTCATCAACTGTTCCAAAGGCAAACTTTTACTCTTTTAATGACCCAAGGAAAGGAGAGCTGTGCCGAACAAGACACACTTTTCTACTCACTCCCTGGTTGTGGAAGTGAGGCCTACTTAAGAGCTTTTGGAATTATGTAAGATTTAACTAGCAGCAACTTACACCTCCTATTGCAATCCACCAAATAACGGGGGGAGGAACTCAATGGCACGTTGCTTTTTTGCTCTTCTCTGAGGTGAAGAACAGACCTCTAGGGCTTTGAGGACAAACAAAAGAAACCCTGACAATAAAGAACTTAAGACCACATGGTCTGGTGACACCTAGGAAGATGGTCAGAAGTCACAGGAGTACAAGAACGGGAGGGAAGGCTGTCCAGATGAAAGGTGACAGCAGGACCTCTGAAAACAGACTAAGTGCTTATTTATACAAGTGGGATGTATTTTCACATACATTTAAGGAATGTGGACTTGTATTGAGACAATTTACTACTGGCGGAAATGTAATTAAAGGCTGTGCTAACCAAATAAACTGTAATTTGTTAGTGTGCCACCAAATTATCTGCAAAACAAAATCCTAATTAGGTCAGCTCTCTTTAAGAACGTTTAAATAGGTATTGAATCCCCCTTTCGATTCAGCTCTACTTCCAATCCAGGTCCGCAGAGTTCTCCGAAATGCCTCTAGATCCCAAAACACAATACTGTGCACTGACGGCATTTAATGGGCCACCTGTCATTGAGGAACTAAAGTTAGACTGAGTAAGCATTTCTAAAGGCACTCCAGGGAAGCACCGTCTGAGTTTTCTCTCATCCCTCTGCTATCCATAGGTGTCCACCTCCAGGCATTCACGTGTTCCATATGTTGTCAATGGAGCCATTCTGCTTCCCGTGGATGCGGCAGCGCGACCCCCACCCCCCACCCCCAAGAGGCAATTGAATGGAATTAGCCACAACTAATTGAAAGTCTTCCTGCTTTAGGCTCAAGTCTTTATCTTCCCTTTCACGAGTAATAAAAGCTGCTACATCAGACATTCCATAATCAGCCATTAAATATCAATCCAATTCTCGTTAATTCTATTTCCTTATTAAACTCCTTCTTAAAACAAGGCGTTTTGTTTGATGGTCAACAGTTTATAGCTGATGAAAGAATTTAGGTTGGCACGCTGGTTTAAAAAAAAAAAAAAAAAAACAACCCAAACAACACGACTTCTTAAGCCGCCTGACCACCAACTATTGTCAAGACCTTCGACGATTGTTTAAGAGCTGAGAATTTCCACTAGGCCTAAATTTAGGAATCTTAAATATGAAGTGCAATCTGATTTTTCTTTTAACCAGGACAACTGTTTTTTTTTATACAACTTTTGATTTTTTTTTTATTTTCACTTAGCTATTTATTTATTTTGCTTATGGCTTAAACACCCCCCTCCAATTTTAACATAATAATTAGGGGTTGGGAGAGAATAAGGAGGGTTGACATTTGTAAAAACTCGCTTTTCCAAGTAAATTACATTTTCTTCTGTGTTCTTCCACACAGTTGGCAGTGACTTCAGGCTTTCAGACCTCTCAGCTTAAAATTCGCCCAACAGCACTCCGCGCGGGCCCTCAACCTTCACAGCGCTGCTGGAGGAGGGGTCGGTTCTGAAAACCCACTTCCTCCCCTTGCTTATCTACAGATCAGACTTCGCACCCAACTCCTCACCGGAACCGAGACGCATTACAAAGTGGCCCGGGCGGGAGGCTGATGGTCTGCTAATGTGAAATTAAGCACAGGAAGAAGAAAGGTCTGTGCACCACAGCTTGAGGAGGGGGTTCTCCGTGAAAGGAGCGCAAGCAGTGACTGGGGACAGGCAGGGACTCTAAACCACTGGGAAGCCAAGGTTGGGCCGGTTTCCCCAAATAATAAACTCAGAAGAAAACATGCAAAATCCGGGGGGTCTCCCAGACTGGCTCCTGCGGTCGCGGGCGTCTGGTCCCCTGGCCCGGGAGTGGCGAGCCAAGCGCCCACCTGCGCGGACGCAGAGGGAGACTGGAGTTCCCCCAAGGGGCTCCACTCGCCGCCTGGGCGCAGTGCACACTGCACCCTGTGCCCAGGCCTTGGGCAGACTCCGCTGGTCCCCGCACCCCTCGGTGGGGCCGTCCCCTCCACCCCACGGGAATGATACTGATACTCACAGCCGGGCGACCCAGGCCGGGAGAGGATCAGGAAGGCGAACGAGCCGCCGGCGGCTGCAGTCTAGCAGGTCCCCGAGGCAGTGGCAGGCGGCTGGGCACGGGCGCCGTGCAGCATCCTCCGAGGGCTGCCCCGGCGCCCCGTGGCCTCCGCGCTCCGCCGGGCCGGTGCGCCCCAGCCCCGCGCACAGCAGCAGCCCCAGCGCCGCCGCCGCCGCCGCCGCCGCGGCCGCTCGGAGCCTGGGAGCACCCATCGCCGCGCTCCCCCGCCGCCGCCGGTCGGCCCGGAGCTCCGCAGCCTCGTGCCAACTCTCTCCCTCCTCCCCTCCCCCGACGAGCACCGAACGCCCGGGACCCGGCTGGACACGCCGATCGCGGCCGCGTGCTCCTCTCGCCCGCTCAGGGTCGGCACCGAAGGCCTCGCATGCCCGCGCGCAGCGGGAGAGCCAGCAGCGAAGGACGGCCAGCCGCGGCGCGGGCAGCCCGAGCGGCGTCCGAGAGCTCGATCGCCTGCAGAGAAACTTTTCCGCCTGCGGCGGGCGGGCGGGCGGGCGGGCGGGCAGGCGGCGGGGGCGCGAAGTCCCGGCGCGGCGGAGCGGCGAGGCGGGGCGCGGAGGCGGGCGCTCGCCCATTGGCTCGCCGGGGCACCCGCGGCCACGTGACAATAACAAGGCTCCAACCCTCCCCGGCCGGCGCCGAGGAGAAAGTGGAGCTGAGATTGTAGGAAATTCCGAGTTACATTTTCCAGCGTCTGCAGCCAGAAGTCTCCGCTATGTCCTGGGAACCGTAGATCAGATGGAATGGAAGGGGGGAAAGCGAGCCAGCGGAGGAGGACTGAGCTCGCTTGCTGCTCAGATGTGGAGTGACTTGGAGAAACTTTAGGGGAGTACAGTTAAAGTGGTTTTGGTGTGAGGGAGCGTTTCAATTCCAAGCGAAAAGAACTGTGTCGATTATTTTACTATTCGCGGGTGGAACAGCGGCTTTGATGGGGGAAAAAACAGTTTTAATATTGATACCAGTAGGGTCTTTTTTATGCCCACAAATCGAATATATACATACATACATACATAGCCTGGCCCCCCAACCCTGGAAGACAGAAGCAGGCGGATCTGTGAGTTCCAGGCCAGCAGGACAACACACTGAGGCTCTTTCTCAAATGTCTGTCTGTCTGTATATATGTATGCATGCATGTGTGTATATATGTATAGGCAGACAGACAAGACACCACATGATTTTGAATCCGGTAGCTTGGTTTACAATGGCTGGAGCTGGAGGAAATAATCTTTTAATAAACCCGAGTTAGCAATCAGATTGCCTCCAATAGCTAAGAGCAATGATATTATACTATGACCTTGGAAGAAAAAAAATACATGTACCTTGGTCTACCTGGTTTTGGGGTGATGACAGATTTTGAATAAAAAGGTTATCAGAATTAAACATACTTGCCTGTTTGTGGAGTTTATTGGGGCAGTGGAATCAAACTACAAGACTTCCCAGTGAAAGTCTTGTCTGGACACTCCTGCAGGTAACCTGGGCAGCAAGGTGTTGAAAGTGATGGAGACCTCGGAGATGCTTGACTATGCCCTACTGGGGGGGGGGGGCACACGTAAGAGGCTCTAAAGAGATATCTAATACTTTGTGGGGTGGCATGAACTAATTTGAAGGCTCCATTTCTCTGGGCTGTGTGCTGCATGGTTTCTGCCCATGCTTGTCTGTGGCTGGTGCTGCTTAACATGCTAATTGAAGCGCAATTGAAATAGCTGGTGGCGATGAGACTTGAACCCCGTGCCCATTGGTTCCCACTGTAGCAAATCACCTGTGTGAGCACTGCCATTCTTCGGGGAAATGGAACGATGACACACCCTAGTTTGTCACTGCCTGTAACTCTGTCACACTTTAGGACAATAGACAAGATATAGTTACAATTACAGGGCCTCCGTGTAGAATTGTGTTCACTACAGTCGGGCTATGGATTTTCCCAGGCTAATGTGCTTGAGTAATTTACATAAGGGAAACCAGGTTTGCTACACTGAAGTTTCTAAACACGAGGGAGATCTCAGTACACTCATGCTGGTGCCGTTACATGACGTGAGTGCCTCGGCATGCTTCTGAGATGTCAGGGACAATCGGAAATCTGTCATCAATTTGGCAATATAGGGCTTGCTTTTCCTGTGTACACTCAATTTCACTTTCTTTGTGAATTAAATTTGTACTTCTGTATGTGTATTTACATCTCACCCTGGTTTCCAGTCCAGAACTTTCTCCTAAATAGCGCGCGCGCGCACACACACACACACACACACACACACACACACACACACACACACACACATTTACCAACCACCCACAGGTCACCTCACGTTGGGTATTCAAATGTGTCGTGTCTAGAGTCGTGTTTCAGCATCCCCAAAGTTCACTCATTTTCCTCCTGTGTCCACTGTCTCAAACAAGGTTGCTTCACTCCAACCAGGTGACTGCCCTAGACCCTGAAGAGCCACCCTTCAACTTAGCCTCCATAACCAACAGCATGTTCTGTTGAAGCCAACCAGGAAAGGACCTTGTCTCCATCTCCTCAGACATCACCCAAACTCAGACTCCACCAGCTCCTTCCAATCAGGCACTCAGATTCTTTCCTCACAAGGGAAAGACAGCTCAAATCAGGGCCTCCGCCTACGATTCCACTGCCGGGTTCCTTTCTTGGGTTCCATTGTCTTGGAAGTAGAGTTCTGAGCGTGACCTATACCGTCTTTCCTTGTGCGTGGCCTCTGATGCTCTCTTTAGTTGACTCTAATCCCCTAGCCTGCAAACTCTCCCGATTCACTGCCAAGCTGTGTCATTTGTTCTTTTGTCCTGACACCTCTTCCATGTCCAGATCACTCTGTCCCTCCTCAGCCTGGTCCGTTTGCCCATCTGCTTTGGAATCCCTCCTAAACAGGCTTCCCTAAGCTCTGCTTGACTCCCCCACCCTCCACACGCTCCCTCTGCATTCTTAATCAGCTAGTCGGGAATACAATCAAAGCTTAATCAGTCTTCCCTCTATCAGCTCCTTGGAAAAGTCCCTGTTGCACTCTGTCCTCTCTGCAACACCTACTGACTGTGGCCTAGGCCTCCTCTGAAGGACACCAGTTCCTCCCCATCATACTCTTTTGCCTGTGTGCTCCTGACAGTTACTAGCTAGCTGATCCTCAGTCGGTCCAGACTGGTTTGTATTTATAATGACACAATTAAAAGACTTTGACTTAACCAAATAAATACGAGCACAACAACAACAACAACAAAACCACACTCACTGGGCAGTGGTGGTGCACGCCTTTAATCCCAGCGTGCAGGAGGCAGAGGCCAGCCTGGGCTACAGAGTGAGTTCCAGGAAAGGCACCAAAGCTATGCAGAGAAACCCTGTCTCGAAAAACCAAAGAAGAAGAAGAAGAAGAAGAAGAAGAAGAAGAAGAAGAAGAAGAAGAAGAAGAAGAAGAAGAAGAAGAAGAAGAGGAAGAAACACACTCATTTTTATGATAATGACTTGAGAGCATGGGAAATATCCTTTACAGGTAACCACTAAAGCAATGTTATCAAATTAGATTAGAAAAAAACAATTATCCAAATGGGAAGAAGGCTTCTACTTCATTTTATGCTCCTGTAACAGAACACCTGATGCTAGGAAACTTATAACAAGTAAGGTTGGCAATTCCAAGATTAGGGGTCCACATCTAGTGAGGACCTTCCTATTGTACCACCCCGTGGCAGAAGACATGCAAGAGAGGAAGAGAGGATGCGGGAAAAGGAAGGCAGTATTTATCCTTTTATTGGGATCCTCCTGTGGCCAGAATCGCATTAATCCAGTCATGAAGCCAGAGCCTTCAAGATGCCGTCAACGTCAACAACATTGCGTTGGGGTTGTGTCTGCAGGACACGAACATGGAGGGACACATTCTACCAATGGGGAGGGGGATTCTGAATCTCTAGGAAAAGTCATCCCACAGATGTCTTCCCAGGCCTGTGTAAGATCCTGTTGTGGTTTAGGGTAGTGGCTGGGAACCCAGAGTCAGGCAGCAGCAGCGAAGGAGGCTTTGTGGGTATGGTCTACTCCTGCACTGAAAGTCACGTGATGACTGAGGGTAGAAGACACGGCACGGAAAGGATTTGGAGTGTTGTCCATCTCGGTACATCCTTTAGTCACACGGTCAATGGAAAGAGTGGCTCTCCTGCACAGAAATGTAACGCAAGGCGTTGCTTTTTACAAACGCACCAAGGGGCCGGGCGGTGGTGGCGCACGCCTTTAATCCCAGCACTCGGGAGGCAGAGCCAGGTGGATCTCTGTGAGTTCGAGGCCAGCCTGGACTACCAAGTGAGTTCCAGGAAAGGCGCAAAGCTACACAGAGAAACCCTGTCTCGAAAAACCAAAAAAAAAAAAAAAAAAAAAAAAAAAAAAAAAAAAAAAAACAAACGCACCAAGGCCTTCATCAAGCAAAGGCCAGAGAAAAGTTTTACTGGACACGTATCTACCTAGGATGACGGGGCCCAAATATGATCTGAGGTTCCCCACCGCTCTGGCTCTGTGTGGATTCCTTTGTATTCTGTAGGAAATAAAACTGAAAGCGAAGTCCCTGGGAAATTGATAAAGAAAAGCACCGAAGTACTGTGCTTTTTTTTTTTTTTTTTTTTTTTGACATGGAGAGCGATTACATCACAGAGATTTGGCTCTGCTTTTCTGGGTGGTGGTGGTCAGTGCTACCACCCCAGTGGGAGCGCATTTTCCATGCTGTCAGTGGATTGTTGCAAAGTTGAGTTTGGCTCCCTTCCCCGCTCTTTCTCTTCCACACCTTCCCTCTCTCTGTCCTGCCTTTTACTGTGGGATGATTACAACAGGAAATCGTCCCCAGGTGTGGGTGCCTTGGGCTTGGACTTTGCAGCCTCAACAACGGTTAAGAAATACATCTTTGTTCTTTATAAATTACCAAGCCTCGAGGATTCTGTTACAGCCGCACAGAGATGAATAAAGAATTCTGTGCATTTCCCAAAATGAATAACAGAGACTCCTGAGGCTCCTTAGCCAATTGTTGATCCTCTCTGGTGAATGTCCTTTCCTATACGCATGCCTCACCTATGGCCGATTGAGTTGTTGTGGCTCATGTCTAATCAATACAGCTTTAGGAATGAGGTAGTCACATCCATTCTGACTGGGAGTCACTTAAAATGAGACGAAGTGTTGGATTTCTTCCTTCTGAGAATCAGTGCCACAAGGCAGTTAAAAATGAAAATCGCCTTTCCTGTGGAAAATGCATAAATCATACCGGTTTCTCATTTACACCTCCCCTCCCTCAGGGAACTAGAAGTTTGACTATTTCCCAAAGTGCCTCCTACTGCCCATTTTGTGACTAGTATGTCCCAGACCCGGTGGGTTGGGGTTTTTGTTGTTTTTATTGTTTTTTTTCCTTTTGCCTCTGACAAGCCTTTGACTTGGTTGGCTCATTACACACTCATTCATGCTTGCTCCTCTCTCTTTCCACCCCCCCCACCCCACCCCCCAACAAGTGAGAGACTTT